TATTTGGCCCCCCCCCCCCCCCCCCCCAACAAATGCCCCTGCTAGGCAGAGTGGGGGGAGTGGCAGCAGTGCACAGTAGATCTTGGGTTACTTTTTAAATGCCAAAGGTGATCTACTTAAAGGGTGGAGGACTGCTGCCCTAGTACTACCTCAAAGATTTCAACCTACACCTCTGTTTAAAGGATCAAGGACCATAGAGGGTTCAGTCAACATATAACCAATATAGGGGGATATAGATACCAAGATACTGGGTTTTTTTTGCTTAGGAAGTGACCACCTTCCTGTAGTCCTCAACCTTTAAGAGTTTGGTATTCCCCCAGGCCTTATTAGTGATAGATTAGTGACCTGTATTTGTCAGTAGAAAATTGAAATGGGACACCTATCTAGCCAAAAAGGTGACTGATTAATTTTCATGTGGAAGACTTAAATATTTTTTTAAGAAATTTGGTAATATAGCCTAAATACCAGAGGATACTTTTCAAATCATTTTACTTTTTCCATGGAACAAATAGTAAACAAGGGTATAATATACCTGTTGTTGATGCAACTAAGTATCGGGTAACAAATGATGAAATAATCTCCTCAAAGTATAACGGAAGAACAAACCCCCAGGCCCAGGTAGAATACCAGTGGAAGTTTATATTGATAATATCTAATGGTGGACTCTAGTCTTGGAAAAATAGTATAACTCTAAGTGAGCTGGACCAAATCCTAGATTCCTGGAAAGGGGGTACCATCATACCCATTTTCAAGAAAGTGCTAAAAGATGAGCCAGAATCTTATTGCCCTGTAAGTTTTAATAGAAGTCTTAGCTAAAATCTTTGGGTGTCACTTGTTATACCATCTCATAGCATGGGTAAAAAGAGAAAATGTATATGAACATCAGACTGGGTTTAGGGATGGATATTCTACTATAACATATTTACCCTTCAGTTTGAGACATTTAATAGATGCAAATGCACAAATCAGTATTGTGTGTTATATTTGTTAATCTGTCAAGAGCTTTTGACAGTATAGATGGAAGTAAACTTTGGGAGAAGCTGTTTAAAGTATGGGACTGACCTTTCTCCCTTGCATCTGCTGATAGAATATCAAAAAGGTATATGGGCCCAAGTTAGGTGGGGTCTGAGGGGTGAGCTTGCACAACAAATTTCAGACAAAGTGGTTAGATAAGGATGTATTTTGGCCCCCCTGCTATTTAACTTTTAATGTGACTGATATATTATCAGAAACATAGGATGCTTATTTTCATCCCCCAAAATTTGCCAGCAACCCCAATCCCTATTTTAATGTATGCAGATGACTGTCATACTCTCAAGAACTCCCATCAGCTTACAGAGTGCAGTCTTAACTTTTGAGCATCTTTGTGGACAAATGGAAGATGAATGATGATAAATCCAAAATAATGCTTTGGGGAAGCTGTCTAAAATACCTGTGGAACATAGAGGAGAATTGAACTCGAAGTTGTTAAAACCTATAGGTACTTGGTTGTGATGTTTACAGCTTTTCCATCATGGAAACGCCACATTCAGTCAGTTAAAACTAAGGCAGCCTAATTGGCAGTGGCTATAAAGAAATTTTTGAGACCACAGCAGGATGATCAGTCTAAGCTCCCATATTAGCATATAAAGCCAAAGTTGTGTCTTGGATCCTGTATGGGGCTATGCTGTTAGTAATGATGTAGACATACCTCAGAATAAGTTGTTTTTTCTCAGGGTTCTTCTGGGTCTTCCTTGTTCAGCTCTCTTGAGATTAGAGACAGGATTAGACTCCATTTTAACTAATATTATTAGAATGGCGGGATTCAGGTTTAAAATCCTGCCTCTACTACTGTCTGACTTGCTCGAATTGTGCCATATAGAAGACGTCAGTAATCCCCCTTCTCTTCAATCTCCCCAACTAGCTTTTCTTTCCCACATTTCTGTGTTTTCCAGGATGGGACATTGTCAGAGACAATGAAAGACTCTTCTCCCCCATAGGAAAGGTCTGGATTTCCAGAGGTTTTGAGTTTGCCAGGCAGAATGATTTTTTGCAGTAGCAAGAGCTACTTGCATCACCCCTGTATAGTCTTTTGAAATTAGACTGGAGAGACTAGAAAAGTATTTATAGCTGGATCGCAACAATAAATGACAAACCTCTTTGACTAGACTCAGGACCAAACAGATGCCCACAGCTGTTTTGTCTGGACATAAACTTTCCATTCCAAGGGCTAAAATGTTGCCCATCCTGTCTAGGAGTTTTAGAAGATGCTATTCATTATGTCTTCCGGCAAACAGATTGATATTTAGTAAACAGTCTTGCAATTTTTGCTTACAAGACTGAAGCAATCGGAGCTAAACATCTTTTACTGTTGATGTGACAGGTTAAACTTTATCACTGTTTGGTTGTTTTTACTGTTAATTGTGGACCTATGCCCAACTTTTTATAGATTCATGATCTGATTTATCACCATATTTGTACTTAAGTTAATTCTAGGAGTAGGAATAATGGTTGGCCTTATTTTATAATATTTGCACTTTTTTTTGTTTAAATTTATATTATGGTTGTATGTCTGTTATGTTTTCGGGAGCACTGCTTTCAGCCAGAATCCTTAATAAATTGAGCTGAATTCTTTGGCAGCTGCTAGATTATCATATCTGTAATAGATGTGAGCATTCACAGCCAGGAACTGACTTTTTTTCCATGTGGATGTGTAGCTTGCTAGTTACCAATGCCTTTATCTCCAGGTATGATTGCTATAATGCCCCCTACATGATGCATGTAACTTTACCACTTGACTCTCAAAAGGTGGTAGCTAGTAGCATCTCACTGGGATTGAAAAATGGTACAAATAATATCAGCGAAAGAAATGACTAATGGAAAAGGGATTCATGGCAGTTGTCATCTGACTCCTATCTTGGGTTGGATGGGCCTCCTGGGACTTCAACCCTGAATAACCCAAAATAAGTCCCCTGTAGGGGTTATCCTAAATAACCTTGTGCCTATGTTTGAAGGATGTCTTTCCAAATGCTCAAACTACATACATTAAAGCAGAACAGATGATCCACTTGACTAAGGAGATTCTATATGTTGTCAGACCACAGAGACTTAACAGCCCCATGAGGACAAGGTCTGATGAATTGGTTGTCCAGTTAGGGAAAGTCTGTCTTCAAACAATCGCTTTACCCAGGCAACCAGTAGGCAGCAGGAAGGGGAGAGGAAGTAGAACAATTCTCTCCTTATGCTCTTCTTACAGCTGCCAGTGGAGCTAGGAGGCATGTGGAGAGGGTGCTCAATGTACATCAGACTGTTATAGCCAAAGCCAATATGGAAGAATACATCCAGCCAGGCCAGTCCAAAGGGAGTCCCAGTGCACACCTCCAAACAGCGAGGGAGAAAACATTCTAGCTATCATTTAAAGAGCAGCTTATAAGCAATCATACTTTTATTAGATGGTAACACTTTCTTTTATTGCAGCACCCAACAGAGTCTTGGTTGCTACATTTCGAAATCCCTTATCCTTGTTGGCTCCATGTTTTAGCCCCTAATTGCTAGTTTTTTCTCTGTACAGGATTTTTTTATTAGGTTCACTTGATTCATCCATCGATGGAGTTGGAGTACTGACAGCATAATCAACATACTTCTGACAGTCTTCAGGCTGCACATATGCTGATGATGATGTAAACCAACTGTGCCCCAATCATCTTCCCCTTCTCTTAGGCTCTTACTACACATTGCCACAGAAGAAATTAATGGAGTTGAGGAGATGAGTATGAAGTTTGGCACCACACTGAAGACCTGTAGGCATCTCATGGAACTTGCTAAGGAGCTTGAAGTCCAAATAGTTGGTGTTAAGTGAGTAGCTCTGCTCTTCTTTTTCTGCTAGGTGTAACATTAAATGCTCAAACAAATATAAGACTGATTTACTTACTTACTTTCTGGTGTATGCTGACCTCTTCCTTTTTACAGGAAGTAATAAAAAAGCAATTTGTATAATTTTGAGTTTTTTTTTCAAATAGTTATGCCCTCCAACCAGTATGAAAAAGAAATGGCTATCTTAGTGCCAGTGTTACAACACTGGGAATATCAAAATCCCCTGTCATGGCCAGAAATTGCCAGGTGTTTTTTAATCCATCTTACCCAGCCATGCTCTTGTGTTTTCCCAGCCAGTTCTGTATTTTCAGTTTTGCATATAGAAATAGGTTGAACTACCAAAAAGCAGTAATGTGTTTGGGAAAACTAGCACTTGTTGGGTGAGACAAGGCTGTAAGATATATATTTAACTCAGATTTGCACTGAAGTTTATCCTAGTCACTTTTAGTAGTAGAGATCGTGTAACTTTTTTAGTTCTGACCTGTAGATGGCAGAAGATTTCCTTGAAGCATTTTAGGTCTTAAGATCTGAATGATTTGTGATTCTTCAAACTGAAATAAGTTGGATACACAAAGGATAAGCAAAGATTATTCTGTGTCCCTTCATCTGCCAAAGATATGTGTAGAAAACACTAATGAAAATCAAATGTTTCAAAAAAACCATGTAGAACAAAAGTTGTTGTTTTTGTCATCAGGATGAATAACATGATTTTGCCTCTCCTCCTTCTGCCCCCCTCTCCTACCTAATAAATACAACTTTACTTAAATCGAATACTTTTCTGTTGCTGTAACTTGAAATTCACAACTTGTCAAGCATATTACCATCTGGTTACAAAGTATAAAAGTATTCAAACGGTATTCCTCTTAAGGAAAATCAAATTGCTGAACTATTTCAAGTCACTGGCTAAGCAACTAAAACAAACTGAAGTGCTAAGCTAGGCTTGTGATGTCAGTAGTCACCTCTTGCAGGTGAAGAGATTGTTTGCCTGGTTTGTTCAAAGTGTAAAAAAAAACAAAAAAAAAAACAAAATTGAAAAAGCATTTTTGTATATGCAAATAAAAATAAATGCCAAAATGATAATCTGCTAATTCTAAAAGCTTGAAGAGCATCCTGAACAAAAACTTACCTGTTCAATTTACTAACTGTAGGTACTTCCTTTGTTTTAATAATCTGTTTAGAATAGTCCAATTAAGTTTTTAATAACTTGTTTTTCTCCCCCAATTCATCACTTGTTAAGGTAGTTTAATTACACAAAGTGACTGTTTTTGTTTATTTTGATGCATACTGTCAATCTTCGTATTCTAGATGCATTTCAAATAACATGCAGTTAATTTAATAAATAAGAAATGTTGGTCAGTTAGCTTTTATGTATACGTTACCATATTTAACTATACAGTAAATGGAGAATAATATCAGTACAGGAGTGGTCTACACCATTTAAAATGCTCTGTCTATTTTAGTTCTGATTTTACATTCTACACTGTTCCTCTTGCCTACCACTAGGTGGTTACAAATCTTCAAGGACATGATACAAAACCTTCCACCTCTGGTTGCTGCTTTAGTTCTAACCAACTTAACTAGAAACTATCAAATGACTTGTAACTTACTGTTACTTGATACTTATTTAAAGTTCTTTTTTTGAGTACAAAAGCATTATACAATGGTGTGAACTATTAAATGTTTGCCTGTCCAAGGGCACAGACAGCACTTCAGCTGTACTTTTAATTGACAGATTCATGAGCAGTAAATAGCAAGGTTATTCTTTGGAGCTCTAGGTGTCTTGACTCTCCATTAAGGTTTAAGAGTCCACAGAAAGAGTTCATTAAAGAGTATAAAAAAAACTATTTTGAGATTTGTTAAACTGTGGTGTATATTTGTTTTGTTATGGGTAAAACTTTTAAAGTATAAGGAAAATGCATCAGAGGTGTGCTGCCTGAACTGTTTGCGTAGCCATAAATCTCATGTGCCTCTTAAAGTCTGTCATCTATGCATGGACCTTAGATGTCTCTACTAGTTCAGAGAAATGGCCTGTGTAGTACTGATGATGTCAGGTTTTCCATGCACTTACATTTTTTTTCTTTTTCAGATTTCATGTTTCTAACTCTTGCAAGGAACCTCAAGTGTATCTACATGCTATATCTGATGCTCGGTGTGTGTTTGACATGGCTGTAAGTAGCTACATTTGTACATGTTATAAATGTTGGAGCCAGCAAAGATAAAAAAAACAAAAACAAAAAACCCCAGTATTTTTACTACTGTGGCTCTAGAAGTCTTGGTCACCCACCAGAAGCCACTTATGTAAGCACCGTACACAGAAAAGGACTGTCCCTGCCCAGAGTTGCTAGTCTGAAGAGAATAGAAAAGATAATTGTTATAAACAGACCTACCTTTCAATTAAGGAATGATAATACAAAACTATGTCTTAAATATGTGATTGAAACAAATCAAAAGGTCTTTTAGAGTAGATTTTAGATTACATTTTTAAAAGCCAACTGCTCTTTTAAAAAAAAAAAATCTGGATTCACTCTTAACAGAACGTTTACCTTTTATTACAAATACAGTAAAAGCTTTGTTATTCAGCAGCCATGGGGAATGCCAGATAACAAAATATGCTGGTTAATTGAGAGGCCCAAATAGGAGTCCTTTGCCTGT